TTTTTATTCCAGGAAAAAAAATAAAATGAAGATGAGTTACACCATGATTGTGTAGAAAATAGTTAGCAAGTTATTATAAATCAATACGTACGCATCACAAATCTATTAATTAAAATATATTCAATATCAAAACAGTTTTCAGAATATGATGTATCACACTTTTATAATCAATTATAGAAATAAATATTTTCAGTATTTTTTCCTAAACTGAGCACATTCCAGAAGTCTATCATTTGCCACATGCGCAAATGAGCTGACAGTTCAGATTGTGCTGCCGGGACGGATCGAGCAGCCACAGCGGCCATTGTAGATGTTTGTTGATGACATCATCCTGACGCTAACTTCTGCTAACACTTCTAAAACAACTAAAGTGAAATAAATAATAATAAAAAAAACATATTAGTGACATTTTTTAGCACTGAAAATGCAGCAAATTTGAGAAATTTCTGATTGAGAAATAATTTAAAAAATCAATAAAAACAGTAGCAGATAAATCAGTTTTTTTACTGATTGATTTTAACAAAATTGCTTCCATTGACTTTTTACATCATTTCATGTTTGTACAAAGGTTCACCTTTAAAACATGAACAAACTTTAAGAGTGAGACTTATGTTGCCCTGTAAACAAGCCAGATGTTGAATCCTAAATAATTTGCCCCATATTTGACTCGAATATTCATTTCTCTGAAAGAGGAGAGTAAAAATCTGTCTCTGCTTTGTGGCTTTAGGATGTAGTCTTTCATTTCCCAATGCGAGGGAGTGTTTATGTGCTCGTGACCTTCAGTTTTTCTCGCTTTAGCCCGTGTGAGAGAGCGCACATGAAGTGGTCTCATGTTTCTTGTGGGAACCTGGAGAAAGCTGCACTGAGTGACAATTCTGGACTTTAAGCTGCTGACGATTATAAAACAAAGTGACTTGTGAGCGCATTCCTGACGACCAAGAGCTGTGTGGCTGCACAGCTGAGGGCTTATTGAAAGAAAAGTATCTACAGTTGCGTTCAGAGGGATCATGCACACACAGAAGTGTAACCCTACAATGCCTTGCCACTCATAAAGAAAGTATTTTTTGTTATTTACATGCACATAATAACGTACTATAATTGTTATACTTTTTTGGTCAAAACTGAGTGTAAGTAAACTTTAAGTAAACTTTTTTCTATAGCACCTTTCACAGACAAACATCACAAAGTGATTCACAGAATGCAAAAATAATTAAAAACAATAAAACAGATCACAGATATAAAAACAACAATTAAAACACAATAAAAAGCACTTAACTAAAAGCCTGTCTGAATAAAAATGTCTTCAGATGTTTCTTAAAAGAATCAGTAGAATCTGAGCAGCGAAGGGACAGAGGGAGAGCGTTCCAGAGCCTCGGGGCCACAAATGTGTTACTCATTTATCTGAAACCAATAAC